GAGCATCCTAGGCCAGGCCTTTCTTTTAAATAGCTCACCCTTAGGTACTCCTGGTGGTCCATTTCTCTCTTTTTCTTTTTGAATTCTTCAAATTATTACAGTGGAGACTTTCACTGTGGGGAGATTTACAAGAACCTCCCGATCTAATAAGCATTCAACATCCATGTTCCTTCCACATAATTAAGGTCCGTCCCAAACAATGAGCTTGTCGTTGTTGCTCTTCCCTAAATATTCTGCGATGCTACATAAAAATGCATATCCAGGTAGTGTACAGAGAATTCCTGCGCCTTTCTGAGATCAGGGAGAGGGATAGTGTGCTTTGTTCTAATTTATACTGAAGAAATGATTGCCTAGAGATCGGTCTCTTACTTCTGATTGTTCCTGAAGATTGGGACAAATAGGGCCTTCTGGTTTGCTTTGTGCATGTTTAGTGGTGTTGTGTGATTTCAGTTGTTAGCAAAAGGAATAGGTTCTGCGTGGTTCTCGGTAATCTTACGACGTATCTAGAAATAAGTGGGAGAAAAGAAAGGTAGCAAAGGTAGGTAGGTAGCCAGTTGAATCTTTTTCGCTTCTACACCTGAGGTTTGTTGTGATGATAGTGGAATGTATTCTAGCACTCTCATTTAGTGTGGGAGAAGCCCATGAATCTGAACTCCCATGTATACTTCGTGGGGATGATTTCAGGCACATCATTGATTCAAGTTAAGCCCAAGAATTATTAATCCCCTTGGTTTAATTCAGGCTACAGGGATTAAGATGATTTTAATATTCCTAGAAATTTTAGTGGCGGGCCAATTCTCAATCCATACCCTCTTCACCCCCTTGAACAATGGTCTCCCAGGATGCCCTGGTGGCACATTCTGTAAGCATTGGGCTGCTAACCACAGGGTGCACAGCTCATGCCAATCCTCGGCTCTGTAGTAGGGAGATAATGCTGTGTGCTGATAATGGTTTATAGCCACAAGTTCAAAAGGCCAGTTGTGTTCAGCCCTATGAGTCAGAATTAACTTGAGTCCAGTGACTGGGTATCTTAATTAGGCAGAAATGTAGACTACCAGGCAGTGCACACAATTGGACTCTTAACGACTGCTTTTTGAAAGGTGGGTCATTCCAATCCACACAGAGGAGGCTTGGAAGGTAAGCTTGGCCTTCAGGTACTGAGAGATCACAGAGTTGAGAACTTTCAGAGCGCTTCTGTGCTCAGATCTTAGGTTAGAATTGACGCCAGGGAGTTCAGACCACCAATGAGGTGGCTGAAATGATGTTCTGGGTAGTACATCTGCGATCATTCTGAAGGTGGCCTTGCCTTCTAGAACCACTTCCTGTACCGAATGAGTGGAGGACGGTGACAGGATCGTGTGACTTACACAAGCACACACTAGTAGGTTATCTTGGTAGAAGGCATAGTTGTGAGATTAACAAGACCAGCTCTTTCCAACGGACAGGGTTGCAGAGGGGCGCAGTCTGCAATCGAGAAAGAGAGGTTAAGAGATCAAAGGCAAGGATGCAAAGTCCGGGGGGAGGGACCACAGAGAGGCAAGACCCTCCAAAGCCAGAGCTTTCCTCAAGGCAGGTTTATATCCACGCCTGTCGCGTAGCCTGCATCTGGTGACAAGCTCCCACACAAAGGGAACGGTGACAATTACCTAAGGGCCTACGAAGAAACATTAACCTATGAGCCAGTGTGTCCATGAACCAGCAGGGAGGAGAAAGGACCAGGGAGCATCAGAGTTCTGTGTTTCAGCAGCCTTCCTGGGAGCAGGAGGGGGCGTGTACACTTTATCTTAGAAGGTCAGACCGCCCTGTGCATCAGGACAGGCAGTCGCCCTGCCTCACGTAGAGACGTTCAAAGCGTCCCATTAATCACTCTGTTCCACCGAAGCCCAGCACGCTGTTCTGCTCCAGGTACCCTGCGTTAAGAGAAGTTGGCGCCCGTGTCTCCGCTGTCAGAGAC